CGTGACCGGCGCCGCCGGCTCCCTCGTAAACACTGCCACCGGCACCGTTGGCGGCGTGACCAACGTGGCTGGCCAGGTCCTCAACACCGCCACCGGCGCCGTTGGCGGCGTGACCAACGTTGCTGGCTCCCTCCTCAACACCGCCACCGGCATCGTTGGCGGCGTGACCAGCGGCAGCGCTGCCCCCATCCTCAACGCCGCCACCGGCGCTGTGGGCTCCACCGTCAACACCGCCACCAACACCGCCGGCGCCCTGACCGGCGCCGTTGTCGGCGCTGCCACCGGCGCTGTTGGCTCCACCGTGAACACCGCCACCAACACCGCGGGCGCCGTCACCGGCACCGTTGGCGGCCTCCTGAGCGGTCTGTCTGGTTAGACACTTCCTGCACAACCAATCTTGCAGCAAATTACTTGCCTGCATAACCAATCTTGCGACATAAGCCTGCTATTTGCTTGTGTATTGCGGGACTGTGCACTGTATTTACGGTATCAAAGGCATGATCATGAGGCCGGTTGCCTCTCCTTTTGTGGGCTGTCCTCCCTGTGAGGGCACCTGTACAATTTCAGGCACCAAGAAATGTAAACTACACTTACATTTGAAATGCATCGTCTCAAAATAATGTTTTGGGCAGTGAGGCTGGGGCAGTGGGACACATCGGAGACAAAGTGATAAGGTTGGCCTGGGGCCCAGTCCCAGGCCCAGTAGGACGTCATCAGTATATTGCCACGCAGTCTCAGTTCAATCCAGCAAGATCCGTCTTGTGCAAATCACCCATGCTGGCAGCATCGCCACCATGTGAAATACCAGTCACATGTGAATTACAAGGCAATAATTGACTGCTGAGCTCGTTCGGATTGACATTGGCTCTGCAGAAACCCCACTCGAGGTCATTCCTACATCGTTGTACTCCAACCCAGTCGATTGTTGAACTTGAATGCACCTGAAAACTCAACTCGAACGCACTTGCAGTGCCGAGGGTAGAGCGTGTGGTCGTGCTGTGTTGTGGTGAGTATTTGCTTTGTTTGAGGGCGTGCTTGTGTGTGTGTGTGTGTGTGTGTGTGTGTGTGTGTGTGTGTGTGTGTGTGTGTGTGTGCATTGTGTGCGTGTATGTGCATGCGCGCACGCGCAAAGAGAGAGTGTATGTGCTGGGCCTCAAGCCTTGAACAGCTTTGTTGCAAGGCTTGCAACAAAGCTGTTCAGACCAGCCATATGCAGTACCCAGGCATAGAGTGGGTGTTGGGGTGTCTCGTCAGTAGTGGTGTTAATCATGAGTGGCACATACATGGGTGGGATGAGGCCGTATGGCCCCATTCGCATGTTGTTTGGCAAGGGGACACAATACGTGCGCCAACGCCTGCGAGATGTTGGCAGCAGGTTGGCAGCAGTGACCGGCAGGCGGGTTACGCTTCAGCCGGGCCGTGATCTCGGGATCCTGCGAGCGCTCGGCGTTGTGCAAAGTTGACACTTGTTGTAAGCTCTCGTTCCGTAGCGAGCATGCTCGGGTTGCGCTGCGGCCTCCCATTGAGAACCACATGTGGGAGGTCTTGCCAGCATGTGACGCGCGCCAAGGTGAATCTGTGGGCTTATTAACTAGAACAATTGCTGCCTGTGCCTATGCACGTCTATCTACGTCGGGGGTCGCAGCGCAAACATGCGACCAGCGGGGCGCCGGTCCCATCGGGGTTCTTCGCCATCATATCTACCTGGTTTCATATCAACAGCTATTAAATATCTTCTGGTGGCGGGAGCAGCAGCAGCACAGTGAACAGCACCAGTTCCACCCGGCTGCGCGCGGCGCGCACCATCACTTTCAAACGTAAGCATCTCTGAATCTGTTTGCACACCAACCGTGCCTTGCACAGCTGGGACCTGGGTGTGAGGCCTTCGAGGCCCTGGCTGTTGGCACGCCCGGTCTTGGCAAGCCAACCGTGGGCACGCAAGCGTGCCCTCCACTTCCGGTCGGTCACCCAGGCTCGGAGCATCTGAAACCCGCTCCCGGGTGAGCACGGAACGGCACCGGCAGCAGCTGCAGCAGCAGCAGCTGCTGCAGCAGCAGCTGCGGCAGCAGCAGCGGCAGAGGTGGGGGTGAGAAAGATCCGCGATGTAGAAACCCTTCGCAGCCGCGCCGCGCCTCTGGCCGCTGCCCGCCACTCCTCACGCCCGGCCCGTTCATCCCGGGATGCCACGTGCACCGACGCTCCACCTCCGCCGCGCGGCGCCTTCGCCTCCTGCTCCCTCTCCATGCTGCTCATCTGGAACGGCCAGCGAGGGGGCCTCCATCATGTCAGCTGCACCTCCCGCCAAGGAGGACTTCGGCATGCTCACAGGCGCGACGGGCGAGCCAGGGGCGGCCCAAGACGGCTCAGCGCCGCGCGCGCTGCAAGCCTGCGCGCAAGCGAGGCCGTGTCGCATCCAGCTCTGGGCGGCAGGCTGCCGTGCCGTGGTTCCCGACCGTCCTGCCTGGCCTCGTCCCCACGCCCAGCCTGTGCGGCTCTCCTCTCTTTGCCCATACAAAGGCGGCTGGCCTGGTGGCGAGGTCGCGCTGTGGCAGCTGCGAGCAGCACTCGTGGAGGAGGAGAGGGAGCGGCGGGAGACGGACAGGCGCCGATCGGCCGAGGCGTCGGACGGCACGGGGCGCGAGGTGGCGCTGCCTGAGGCGCGGGACGGCCTGGCTCTCGTCTATGTGGGTCACGGAAAGAGGTGAGCTGCCATGGCAGACGTCCATGCGGCGGCCGTCGCACGAGGACGCCGTGTTGCGAGCAGTCGTCTTGGTAGGGAAGGCACCGCAATGCAGTGCGGTCCATGACGCCAGTCCGGCTGCATACAGACGCCGCGGCGCGGTTGCCTTGCTGCACGCGCAACTCCGACCCACGCCCGCCTCTATGCTCGCCCCGCCTTGCCCCCCCTGCCAACAAACAGCGGCCGGCAGCCGCGCAAGGCGGGCGCCCTGGGCCGCTTCATACTGGATGACCCCGCCAAGTACCCATCAAAGGAGGACCTGGGATTTTTCGGTGAGCGTCGGTCTCCTTTGGGGTGTCGACAGGGCAATTTTGGATCAGGAGGGCACGGCAGCGCATGCTTTGTGTCATTGAGAAGGCGCCTTGGCTGCGTTCACAAGCTGGAAGATCCAAAGCGCGCAAGCCCGGCGCACGTGCCTACCTCCAACACACTCATGCGAATGCTCGCACTCACACACACACACACACACACACACACACACACACGCACACCCACACGCACACGCACACATACACTCTCGCACACCCCTGCGCACTCCACATGCACCAGCCGCGCCGCACACGCTAATCGACGCCGCGCGCCTCGCATTCCCCCCCACCACCACGAGCAGCCGGCGCGACCGGCGGCTTTGCGGCCGGGGAGAAGGGGCTCGCCCAGTTTGTGAGAGACGGCGAGCTGCGCCTGCGCCGCGCCGGCCAGCCTGGCGGCCGCGAGGCCAGCGCCGTCGCGGCCGCGGGGCTGCTGGCCGCCGCGGGCTGCGGCGGTGGGCTGTTGCTCAACGGCATCGCTGACCTGGCGGAGGGGCCTGTGAAGGCTGAGATCTGGCGGGTGCGGGGGCGCGTGGCGGCGCCGCGTGGCTGCTGCTGTATGGGGGTTGCGGCTTCCTGGGGTGGGGGTTGCGGATACTGCGCGGGTTGCACGCCTCCTGCACCCGGCTTGCGCGCGGTCTGTCGCGCAGCAGCTGCGGCCCAGGGTAGCTGGCTTGCCGATCAGAGTTCGTCGCACACATGCTTGTGCACACACGCATCCCCTCGCCACACGCACGCCCACCCGGCCATGCATGCACATGCGGCGTGCTCACACTGCAGGCTCCGATTGACGACACAACCAAGGCGCTCATGCTGGCGGCCGCCTACGCGCTCGCCGCCGCGGGCCTCTCCGCCGTCGGCCGCGCGCTCTACCTATCGCTTTCGCGCCGCTTCGCCACGGACGCCCAGGGGTTGGTCGCGGCGGGCGGTGTGTGGGTCGGCACCTTTGTGGCCGCGCGCGCTGTGCTCGACTTGTGAGCGGCGGCCACGCCATCCCTGCGTGGCCGGCGCTGTGGATGCCGCTTGTACCTCGACACTACGTCTTGATGTCCATTCTGATGTGTTTTAGAACTGTCTGAACTGCGAAGCCGCCGTTCAAGATTTGCGTGCCAGTGCACGTGCAGCAGCCCCTTGCGTGGGTGCGCCTGCCAGTCGGTATCACCCCCTGAGGGTGCACATCCACAGATTCCTGCCCTTGATGTGCGTTGAACTCCAACGCCCACTGTGCCCAATGCCTGTTCCCTGCACATAATTATCTGTCATATACGTATTTGTGCCCTTGGCGGCCAGCAAAGTGGCCCCCAATCACCCGTTGTGTGTGGGACCCCACTCGATGAGTTGAGAGGCTGGTGACCGTCGTCGGAGATATTGACCGCCCTTGTGCAGTCTTTTTTTTATCAGTGCCGCACAACCAAAACCGTCGCGAAGCGCGACGAGGCACAGGGCGGTGTGAGGTGAGACGACCTCTTGGTCTGCCATGCGCCTGCGGCATATTGTAACATTGAGTGCCACTCCCCATTGAGCTGAGCTTGACCCTTTGAGGTGGAAGGCCACTTTTTGTGGTTATTCAGGTGTGGTCTTAAGGATGTGGTGGTACGAGTGTGGCGGTCCTGTGCAACAACAGGCAGGACGGGGTTGAGGTACGGCCCTGGACACTTTCATGGCTGCGCCTTGAAGCACCCGGCCTCCAATCGCATCAGAAGGATGCAAGAATATGCAGGTGGTGTTTTATGTGCACACTGACTGCTGGCGGCGCCGCAGGCGGCGCTGGGCTGCGCTCGCTGGTTCGGGGAGAAGCACTGGCGGTGGGAGTTGGGACGCTTGAATTTTGATGCATCAAATTCAGCACTCCAAGGTAAGTGCGGTAAACTTGCATTTCAGCACGCCTGTTAAAATGCTATGAGGCTACGAAGGATAGCAAGGGAGGCTGCAGGTCGCGGGCGGCAGGTAGTAACTTGTATGATACAGTAGATCGCTTACCACGCATTGCGCTCGAATCCTTGCATCAACGCGATATTGCCGATTAAATCGCTTCTATAATATCTTTCACCCTACGTAACTGTTGGCTTACAAACTGACCGTGTGACGACGCGGCGTGCAACACACGTCTTGGTCCCTTTCACGTTCCCAAGCGTGCGGGAGTTTAGACTGTAAAAATATGAGCGCAACTTTGTGCGATACCAGCCGCGCCAACTACAGCGTCTTGGAGCCACCTGCAGCGAGTGCAAGCGCAACATCCCTCACTCGCAACGGAGATGGCAGCGTCAGCAGCGGCAGCGGCAGCGGCAGCGACGGCCTCAGCCAGGGCAGCAGCAAGGGGGCGCGGCCGCTCGCGCATCGGCTTGCGACGCGGACCTACAGGGAGTTTGTGTGGAGCCTGAGCTTTGGGATTGCCATGGTCATTACAGTGAGCGTTTCAGCGGCGTTGGCGCCGAGCCCTGTGCCGGCCACCTGGCTGGCCGACACCGCTACTTACGCATGTGGGCATGCTGCACCCGCGCACGCCCATGTGCACCAGGCCATGCACGCATGCAGCCAAAGACAACATTGCACGTCGCATGCAGCGACCGCACCCTTTGCATGCACCTGCACCCATTTCGCCTCGCAAGATCGCCTTGTTTGTTACCCCCCATGTTCGCAGGCGCCGCTTTTCGCCGCCGTCGTGCTACTGCTAGGTATATACAAGAGCATCGCCGACTTTGTTCGCACCGCCTCAAGCCGGCGGCACTAAGCAGGCGCCAAGGCATTGCCGCAGGCAGGGAGACCCTCAGCCATGCATGGAGCCCGTGATGGAATTGGCTGCATGCCGCGGGCGGGCTCGCCCCTTCCCGGCGGCGTCTAGGCAGCCTGTATCTGCGGGCCCTCGCAGGCAGTAAGACAGGGCCGCGGCGATTTGATGCCTCTGGGCCTCTCATGCGTTCCGGGACGCGGCGACATTACTTGCAGCAACGGCGATTCCCAGCGCTCCAACGTGCCGTCCCTGACGACCCAATCGCACACGCACGGCCCCCGTTTAGCGACTGCTCTTCCGGACCGCGCCCCTCCGCTGGGCTGCCACCCCTTACATTGCAGCCTGCGCATACAGGAGTCTCGGCAGTCCTCTATCAGGAGGCAACCTGCAACGAACCTGCATGTCGCGCGCCAACGTTTTTGCTCTCCCTCCAGGGCGCAGCCCGCTTGCTTGGCGTTCCTTCGCGGCTGTGTTGCGCCTTTTTGTGCTGCCAGCTGGTTGGCTGCCTAGCCTCGTATATTTCATGCACAGTGCTCGAGCAACCGTCCGGCGGCCCCTGCGCATATGGTGCGCCCTGGGCGACACATGCAGGCTCTCCTAAATTCACACACCACTGTGGGTTGCAGCGGCCAGCCCCAAAGCTGCAGGCAAACCTGGTCGATGCGCCAGGCACTTATGATGGTCCCAAACCATGCACAAATGCTTGCTTTGCCTGTAAGCTGGCCTTCGTCGCCCTGGGTCTCTCCGCCAACAGCGATTGCTGGTACAAGTAAAAACATGCGCAATCACGGGCGGCCAAGAAGCCTGGCAGCGCGCCACCCAGTTCCGGCCCTGGTGTGAAACACGCGCGAAGCCATCCCATTGGCGCATCCCCAGCGCATCTCAGCGCAGCCGCTTCCCACTCGTGGCGCCCTCTGGCCCGGCGCGGGCCCGGCTCGCTGCGCCGCGCCGCACATCACCGCGTCACTGCGCTGTTAGCACGAAATCGGCGACCAACGGGATGTGGTCGCTCGGCACGACGCGGTTTGGGGGGCTCTCCACGTCCTGCGGCGCCGGCGGCAGCAGCACGCGCGCCAGCCGCAGGCCCGCCCCTGCGGCGCCACCCCCGCCGCCCCGGGGCCCCTCGCCTTGGCCGCCGCCCTCCCCATCGCCGCTGCCGCCGCTGCCTGTGCTGCCAAACCAGATGTAGTCGAGGGTCCCCTTGTACTTGTTGTGGCAGCTCGTGAACGACGGCTCGAAGCCTGTGGCAGCTGCGTAGCAGCTGCGCAGCGCCAGCGGGTGCCGCGCGACGCCGTCCCCCAGCGCCCCGCCGCCAACGCCCTCCCACTC